GGTGAGGTTTATAGCTGGTGAGGCACTGACTTAATCATAATCAGATTTACAAATCTAGACCCCCTGCAAGTTATTGTTTATGTAAGGAAATTTTGCGCATGCGGACAACGTTGGAGGGCAAAAGGCTATTTCTTTACATGCCATCCATAGCCGCTCTGCCGCCGTAGAATATCTCCGTTAACTCAATCAAACTTGGACATGTAGATATTAATTTTGTGCTGCTTCACAAAAAAAGGAAAAATCGTTAAAGAACAACTCAAAACCACAACTTTCTCGCTCTCTGTATCAGCAAAGCTACAAACAGACTCGTTGCATAACAACTGACAACAACGCTACAAAAAATGAACACTCAGATATTTCCTACACAAAGAGCAGAACATTCAGTCTGTTGAATGGTTTTCTACTGCGTAATGATTACTTTGGGATTACTAATCAGTGATTGCTGTGGAAGAATAAGAGAAGAAAACTATAAATACATCGCTGCACTTGACGGCTAGCTGCTAGCGCGCTGTTACTGTCTTACTCTGCAGTTGTGGAGTCACAGTGTCTGGGTGCATGAGCGCCCCCTGCCATGAGGCAAAAGAACTGCCTTCCTCACCTCAAATCTGTTCTCTGCCGTTTCTGATCGCTCCTCAACACACGAAACATGTTACACACACAGCTGGTGACAAAAAACACTTTACATTATATAGACAAGCTAAATTATGGAAAATTAGTTCATACATTAAATGTTTTTAACCATTTTATTGGCGACGTACAGGCAGGAGGAGCTGCTCTCATAGAATGGCAGACAGTGCAGTTAGCCAGAGGCTGTGTAATCCCAGGTGAGGCTCAGCTCGCTGCTGCCTCAACGGCTTCGAATCCGAGCATTGAATGGGAAAATGCAAAAATTTTGAAGAAAAAATAGAATTGGTGAAGTTAAATGAAAACTACATACTTTATAGCACAAACCACAGGGTGAAAATAGCAATATAAATGATTTTATTCTTATTTTTCCATGATGAGAGGTGGGGCTGTGCCTCACCTGCCTCCCCTGACCACACATCACTGCTGAGGAAATATGTATTTTTCCCACAATGCATTGCGAGACCTCTCTCTTCTCACTGCCTCTGTCGGCTCCGTTGCTATGGTAATTAATGACTGCAGCCAATGCATTGCGAGACCTGAGCTGAAACATTTTAAAGTAATTCTGACATTTAAAATAGGCTGTGTCCCTTTCAGACAGCGGTTCGGACCGCAGCAGCGCATCTGAGTCTGTGAGCTGCGAGACAGACCATAATAGCCTGCAGCTCAGAGTTGGAGCCGGGCTCCGTTGCTATGGTGATTAACGACTGTAGCTATGACTGTGTGTATGAGTCAAAGCGGAGCCTCCATTGACTTGCATATGATTTTGTTGTTTTTTTGCAATTTATGTCGCCATTTTAGCTCAGAATCCCACTAAAACTAATAGCGCACTTCTCAGGATCAAGCTCAACGTTTTGATACCACTTTTGTGGGAGAACACGCAGCAGTTTGAGCTGCATTAAGGGTGATAGGTGTAGAGCAACAGGTTCCTGCCATGCATTGCATGCAGGCCCAAAATATCAACTGGTCAGCAGTTATCTCAGGAAAGAAGTTTGTTGTACTGAATAACTGACTATGCTAAACTCCCTCATGCTGAGGAAGCAACAGTGGAGAGGAATGAGAGGAGACCTCCAACAGAACCAGAACCTGCTTCTGTTTTTCCACCGGCTGCTCTGACCAGCTGAGGGTTTTAAAGAGAAATGATCCAAACACAGTTCACATTTTCTACAATGAGTGACTGAAGTCTAGGTTGGTTCTGTGTGATTTGTTTGCAGTGGAGCTTAAAACTAAGATGTTCTTTCAGGAGAGGACCTGGTTTTGGAGTGACGGTTCCAAGTTTATTTTTACTAACTGGCATGCCGGTCAGCCAAGCAATGGTGAAAACGAAGACTGCATGGACATCAACGCATATGGTATTTATTACTGGAAATACACAATTTATTTAATAATTTCGTTTAAATGCATGTTTTTATAATATGTTTGTATCCAGTGGCTCAGTAGGTAGGAGTTTGTCCTGTAATTGGTAACTTCATCTGCTCTGCTATGGAGGACCAAAACTGACAAGAAATAAAAGCATAAATATATATTTAGTTTTTCCTTTTCCTTACACGAGTTTCTGTCAAGTAACGTATATATTTTCTTTTTCATTTCCCCTAAACATGCATTTTTGTCAAGAAAAGTAAATATTTTGTTTTGTCTTTTCCTTATACAATCCCTGGTTCTTTTGTCATTGGCTCTTCTCCTCTCCTGTTTTTACTAACTAGTTATGCAGCCTGCATGCTTGTATTTCCTTTTAATTCATGTAAAGCACGTTGAATTGCCTTGTTGCTGAAAATGCTCTATATAAATAAAATTACCTATCCTTTACTTTTCCGTGTGCATCGTTATGTTAATGAGGAGCTGCCTTCTCTGTCTCCTATTGGCCAACAGAGCTTTGGATTCTACGTCACTGCATCAGACGTGGGGCGTTTAGGTGCAGTTGCTCGGTGCCATCCTTACAGGCCACAGACCGAAACAAACTTCATCCCGGTGGTTTTATTGTGTTACCGACTGCAGTGAAGTTAGTTTCGAGTTGGATATTCCAATATTTGCCGAGTAAGCAGCGTTCAGCTCAAGGTTGATCCGATTTATGAACGCTAATTTCGGCCAGTCGATCTCCAGCTCCCTCCTCAGCTCTCGGAGGGAGATTCCTATTATGTCAGTTTTGGTCCTCCATACCCTCATGCTTTCTGTAAGGGATCAAATCATGTCAAAGGTTTGCAGTCAGGATTTGTCTCTTTGTCTCTTTACAGAACAAGATTATGTTGATGATGTTACCTGTGGTAATACCTTTCCCTTCATCTGTGCCAGACCTCTGTAACCTTCTCATGACTTTTAAACGCCCATATGGGTTTCCTGCTGGTGATGTCACTTCCCCCTGGATGTTAAGCCTCGATGACATCACTGCTGGAAGAACCTGATTTCACTTCATTTGATCACTTTAATAAACATTTATTTCTCTGAAATCTGATTGATTTTATTCTTTTATTTAAAATATGTCAACATTGCCTTTAAGCAGCAGCTTCTAAACTAATTGGTAATGGTTCTAAATCTCAGCTATAACTTCATGCTGAAAATCATCAGGATATCAGTGCATCAGTAAAGTAATAAAAATCTATGAAGTATGAACAGTTTTCACAAACTCTGAACCACCTGGTTTGAACAAATTCACTAGTGTCACAAATACTGGACACCTAATGAAACCTGGTAAGAATGTTTGTGATCATAAACCTCTGAAACACCAGAGCATCTTTAGTTAAAAATCTGTTGACTATTGATTTATTATTGTTTTAATAAATCAATATTGAAATCTCCACATATTAACCAAATTTTCCTATCATTTAATCGATTCAGGAGATTTTCACATCTGTTCCTAACAGAGCCTGGCTTTATATACACAAGCTACAATGTTACTTATTTTCTCCAGCTCAGTTTCAACAGTAACACTTTCCATCATATCATCTAAAGCAAATGACATACATTTAATTTTTCACATCTCAAGGAACGGCTAACATACTGCAACACCCCACCTTTGTTCTTCACTGATTTAATGAAATCAGTGAATCAAACCTGATTTCTCATTTAACCAGGTCACAGAAAATGTTACTTGAACATGACTGATCAATGATTTCAAATATTCACTAATATTGTCAAAATTTGTATGAAGACATCTACAATTAAAATGAATAAGTGAAAAAATATCCAAGTCCACAGCTGTTTATCTGTATATTTACAGTTGTGAGGTCCATGTAATACATTACTGTACATTACATAATCACATGTTTTTAGTTCAGTATCGTCATTTCCTTTCTAACTTGATTCGCTTACAGATTTTTCCATAAACTACTAAAGAAGACAGAATGAACCGGAAAGAAGGAAAAATAAATTAAGAATATATGTATATAAATAAAAGTTGCATGTTTTTGCCTGTTCTATCCTTTGCCTCCTTGTTTTTTACTCAGGTTTTCCTAGAAGAGCCTCAACTCCGTCCAGGACTGCTTGTCCAGAAGCTCTCCTCCTCAGGAAAAGGCCGACTCCCGTCCTGCAGTGACTCCAGATCCATTTCCTTCTCTGGAGCCTCCATGTTGACGCCGATCTGATGTAATCCAGCTGCAGCAGCTTGCGGGTCTTTATGCACCTTCACGTTTCCGTCCTCTCAGAAAACTTTCAGTCTTGCTGGAAATAAAATCCTTGACTTTATTTTTCTTTCCTGGAGTAATTTGCGCACATCTTTGTGTTTTGCACGTTCCTTAAACAGTTTGTAAAGTCCTCATCAGAGTCGATCCTTCTATCACTTGAACAGTCTTTGTTCTCCTTGCAGCACTTTCTGTTTCTGTCCTTTGGTCCAGGCCCGATCCCATGTGCCCTCTCCACATGGAGCTCATCCGTCACTTGCAGTTTTTCATGGATCAATTTATTGACAGTCTATCATGTCATTTCCTTCAGAGCTTTCTGGCACTGAGTAGATTCTCATATTCTTTCTTCTGGCTTGACTTTCCGGTTCCTCCCATGTATGTTCTGATTATTTTTGCATTTGAAGGACATATAAGAGGACTGTAGAGGTTTTCATTTGATCATTTTCACTCTCAGCAATTCCCTGTTCAACTTCATCCATCCTTTAACATTTGAGGAATCTGCATGTAGCACATTTAACTCTGCCTTTAATGATCCGAAACGAACTATTGTTTCAGATCTAAATTATTTTAGTTCTTTGAGTATTTCAGCCATACCTGTGGCTTTAGCTGAAGAGGCGTCCTCTGTTGATACGACTCGGTTTTGTTTTTCAGTGAGAATAAAATGACCTCGTAGATAACATGCATCTCGGCGCTTCGGCACACGGACCAATGCGTTACGTCTCTATGTGACAAAAACTGACGACATTTACTATTTACATTAAAGTAGGTTTTGAAATTCTTTTTTAAATTGTATTTATTTATTGTGTGTTTTATGTTATAGTCTGAGGATAAATGTGGTTCAGTCTCATTGTTTCAGTTTAAACAATAAAAGATTAAAACCATCATGATTTTCATCAGTGTATTTAGGTGAGTTTTGTAACTTAGTAGTTTGTTATTGTCCACAAAAAGTTGAGATCTCAACTTTATTCTAAAAACATATCAGAATATCAGGGAGTATAATAATAAAAATGACTCTGAATCTTCAACAAAATAATTTCTCCCTAACTGTCCCTTATTTGGGTGTGTGGCATCATAAATATCTGACATGTCAGTAGAAACCTGGTGACGATGGGTTCCCACAGCTCAAAGCCGCCTTCCTGCGACACTGAGGAGTGTTTCTGTGTGAGTGAAACTCAACAGCTCAGAGTTTTGTGCATTATGATCGTCTCTCCCTTTATACAAAATTGACAATTTGTTCACTTGAGATTGGTGGGTTAGGGTACGACTCGGTTTTCTTTCTCAGTGAGAATAAAATGACCTCGTAGATAACGTGCATCTGTAAATAGTAACTAATCTGCACCACAATCTTGGCGCTGTCGGCAGGATCCTTCCTGTGGCCACTGGGACGAAGTGAGCAGCTGAAATATCATCCTGATTTTTTGTTGGAAATCTCAGCTAGTTTTAACTCTTCTATTGTTTCCACATTGTGGGCATGCAGCTTTTTACCAGTAGTGGGCGCTCTTGTATGTTCCAGAGTACAGAGATGTGTGGACTAAGCACAAAGACTACCATGGACACTGCTGTGATTCATGTAAAAAAATTAAAAAGTGAAGATTCTTTATAATTATTTAAAATGATTTAAGGACACAGTGGCACTGGAGGGATGTAGGCAGGCAGTGGTTTGGGATGTGGTTGGAAGATTAAAATCAGTTTTTGAATAGCAAATCTAGAGGACTGAGAGCTTGTTGGAACAGAGTTAATGCAAATATATAACAGGAAATAACAGCTGACATGGACCAAAGAACATTATGATTCTAGCTAATATAATATGTTTAACTTATTAGAAAACCTTGTTTCTGTTAATATTTTCTCTTTACAGTTTATAAAGACACCTTATTTTAGGAAGCTGTCATTAACTACAGATAACAACTTATAAAGCATGTGATGTGTTTCAGAATGTAAATCATTTTATTCTGAAACATTTTGAAAGCAGAGACTGCAGCACTGCACATCTGTGTTTAGCAGCTTGAACAGGATCATATTTGTAAAGTCTGATATATTGTTACACATTGCACTGCAACATTACACCTTTAATAAACAAGGAAATGAGTAAAATATAAATGAGCTCAAATCAATATTAATAATCGGACTGCAGTTTAAAAGCTGTGCTGCAGACGCCATCAGCTGCAGCAGCTGCTGGTTTACTGCAGGAGGCGTCGCTGCAAACGAGGTTTCCACAGGAACAGATTTCATCTCATCTTCACCGACTTCTTCATAAACTGATAGTCTTCAAGAAAAAAGGAAATTAATTTCTCTGCATTTCTGACATTTGAAGCTCTTCACACTCACCACAACAGCAAGATCTGAAAAACAGAAGATTCAGAAACCTGCATCCATGTCAGGTTCTTCCTAAAGTCTGAACATAAATGACATATGTTCAGATTTTTACGTATGTAATAAGTGGACAGGACACAAACGTCTGATAATATCAGGACTTCCTGTGAGGTGAAATCACAGCTTTTAGTTTGACCCTTAAATGTTGCAGCTTGTTTAACAATCAAACTTTAACTATTACTGTTTGACCTGCAAAACGTTTAGATGTTTCAGACTAAAGGAAAATAAAAAGCGTTGAAAGCAGAAAACTCAAACCTAAAAGTGAAGGTTATTTTAAGGCAGAAACCTTAAAGCAGGAAGTTGAGGTGAAGACGCCTAAATGTTCAGCTGAACGTTAGAAACTTCAGTGAGTTTCTGTCACATGAGCTGATTCAGAAATAGCTGATACCAGTTTACTTTTTAAGATATGTTGGCTCCATTAGTCCTTATTGAACAATAAATTAACAGATTATAGGGTGGAGGTCAAAGGGGAAATAACTGCAGACCGAGACTCGAACCAGGACAACCGAGAGCTGGAAAGACTGCGCAGCGTTCTGAGCCGAAAACGAGGGGTTTATTGGGGAAAGAATAAAAAGAAGAGGCTCTCAGAGGAAGACGAAGCAAAGGAGTTTTACAGAGACGAAGGAAAAATTTAAAGCCGTTAAATCACAAAGTCATACTTAATATGTTTGGCATTTTCGTAACAATTCAAGGTCACATATTTACTTGATTGTGCTATAAAATGTGCCTGGAAAACACACATTAATTTATTAACCAGAAGTTTGTAACAAAACCAGAAAAAATGATTTTTACAGAGCAGAGGTGGGTTCATCCCCCCACCAGGCAAAGACGATCTGACCAAACCAGACTTGGTCTGAAATGAATCGGAAAGAAAGGCGACTTGAAAGATCAAAGGTCACATATGATAATAAATGGATAAAAAGAAGCTAAAGTGGATCGTCTGCCGTTTCAGCTTTGACCAGACCAAAGCCGGTTTCTCTCTGCGGTCCTGAAGCTACGCCGTGTTGGAGTACAGAGACTCTTCTCCAACATGGCTGCCAACAGCCACCCGAGGAACAGAGTAAACCACGTCGTCAGGTCTCTGCGGACAGTCCAAGCTTCTGTTGAGGAAGTTCACCTGGGCGTAGGTTGGTCTAGTCAAATCATCTTCAGCCTGAAGAAAGAAAAGCAAGCGGTGAAGGTGAGCAGAGCAACAAGAGATTCCTGATCATTCAACTGGATCTGAAAAACACAAAGCGGGTTTGGGTCACCAAGGCACTGAGATCATCTCCGCTCCATTCAGCGATGAATGAATGAATGAATGAATGAATGAATGAATGAATGAATGAATGAATGAGAGTTTTTGCAGGTATTCAGGTCAAAGTTCAGCTTACCTCGTCCAGAGGAAGAGCTGCAGTCGCCAGGCTCCAGACGCCATCAGCTGCAGTTGCAGCTGGTTTACTGTAGGAGGCGTAGCTGTAAACTGTGCAGATTTCCACAGGAACAGATTTCATCTCATCTCTGATTTCATCATAATCTCTGTTGGTCTTCAGGAGACGAAAGGAAATCGATGCGTCTTTATCTCTGACAGTTTCAGATGCTGAACCGTGAAGCTCAAACTCACCTCAACAGCAGGAGTTTTCTTTCTTTTCTCAGCAGGATCTGAAAAACAGCAGAAGATTCAGAAACCTGCTTCCATAATATCACCACCTTCTGCACAGGTTTGTTCTGAACACGTCACAGAGGAGCAACGAACTGAACCTCAACGGTCCTTGATCTGACTTCTACCAGCTGAAACTGGGTTGGACAGAAACAGATGGACCAAACTGGACCTCCTCCTGCTCCCCTGATTCTCCCTCCTCCTCCACTTGGGGGAACTGAGATGCTGAGAGTCTCCAGGTGAGTCCTGGGTTTTCACTGACGTCTCCTCTCACTGAGACGTGTCTAAAAGATCTTACTCAGGAATTATGGAGCAACCAAAGATCCAACTCTGGTTGTTCTGGTCACATCCTGCAGACTGACCTCAGATCTGCTCAAACTTTAAGATCCCAGGAAGAACCAGTCAACCTCTAATACCTGCCATACTTAAATTAGACTGAAATATTGAAAAAAAAAGTGTTGGAGTTTTGGTAAATGTTGTGTTACCATGGTAACCAGAATAACCAGGTTTCTGGGTGTTTATTCTGTTTCCTACCTTTGTCATGTCTCTGTGATCTGCTTCTGCAGAAAACCAGCAGAGCCAAAGTCAACATGATGATGATGAAGGCCAGAGCCAGACCCACGATGAGCAGAACGTCTGAAAACAGGAAGTTATGTTGGGTTATTAGGATGTGCACCAAGTGCAGAAACACGTTAACAAATATATGTTCAATCCAAACGTAAAATAATGTTTCAATGGTAGAATCTCCAACATCCAAAAATGTGTTGTTTCTCATATAACTTAATTATTTTGCTATATAAAGTGTGATAATCATGTATTTATTAATTATGTGCTATGTTTCCAATATGTTAAATGTGTGTAACTGTTTTTGTCATAAATGTTTTAATGCTGTGGACCTGAGGAAGAGGATGGAAACAAACAAATCCTACAAACACTAATTAGCATCAAACTGAGCATTTCTGTGGTAACAGAGTAAAAGCTGCATGTCCAGCAGGTGGAGTGGTTGGACCTGCAGGTGATTGATGGCCGTCACCCAGAGCTGAACGGTCGGTGGCTGCAGAGGAACCTGAAGCTGTGAAACTTGATGCACTGGAGCTGAAACTCCTGGTTGTCGCTGTTTTTCTTGAAGTTGTTGTTGGTTTAACTGCTGGGAATCAGAAGAAAAGTTTAGCTCCAAATAAAAAAGAATGAGTTTAAAATGAGCTGAGAAAAACATTGATAAATCAACAATGTCATAATTTACACTGAAATAAAATTAAGTTTCATAATATACCTTAAAATTATAAGCCAGGATGTTTTTAAGACAAGCATTGTTACATATTTACATTAGACTGGAGATGTAACTTTTATTTGATAGAAACTCACCATCTGTAACAGTGAGGTAGAAGTGTCTGTATTCATCTGGCCATCTCTCCAAGTCCAGGTTACATCGGTACCATCCTGAGTCAGACCGGGTCAGAGCCGAGATGCTCACATACAGAACTCCTCCTTCATATTCAATGCTGTATCTGCCTCTCTCAGCTGTGACTCCATCAGTCTGAACAAGAACTTCATCTTTTCCACATCCTCCTCTGCAGAACTGTCGTTTCCTTCCAGAGCGTTTAAAGGAGCAGGCGACTGTCAGAGAGCTGCCAGCGTCTCTGTGGAGGTCAGGAACTTCGTTTCCATCCAGCAGAGCTGATAGAATAATCATCAGTTACTTTCTGACCTCTGATCACATTAATCCCAGTTTCACACTGGGAGCTGCCCAGTTCAACCAGTGTGAGGCTGGAACTGGTGATCCATCAGTCATGGATTCATCGTCTCCCTTCTAAAGATCATCCAACAGAAATTATTTCCAATCATTTAGCTTCACATTGACATCCGATTAGCTGAGACAGACATGGAGATTCATTTGATGACAATTTTACAAAACAATTAGAAAAACTAGAAAAACAAAGCTTCCAATTTTCAATCAGACTGGATAGTTGTTACATTTTCTCAGAGATTTTAGCAGCTTTGAGACTCACCTTCAGCAACAACCAGGTCAAAGTATCGGTAAGAATATCTGGATGAAGATGTCCACAATCCACATTGGTACCATCCTGAGTCAGACCGGGTCAGAGCCGAGATGCTCACATACAGAACTCCTCCTTCATATTCAATGCTGTATCTGCCTCTCTCAGCTGCGACTCCATCAGTCTGAACAAGAACTTCTTCACATCCTCCTCTGCAGAAATATTTGGTTTTTCCCCAGAAACCAAAGAAGCAGGCGACTGTCAGCGAGCTGCCAGGTTCCTTATGGAGGTGAGGAACTTCGTTTCCATCCAGCAGAGCTGATAAAATAATCACCAATCAATAATCATCAGTTACTTCCTGATCCCATCATAATAATCTGATCACATTGATCCCAGTTTCACTCTGGGAGCTGCCCAGTTCAACCAGTGTGAGGCTGGAACTGGTGATCCAGCAGAAACTGAAGAAGAAACTCTTTAACATTCACTGATTGAGCTGATAGACAATTTAGATCAATTTTGGTGATAATTTCACAAAATAAAACGAAATGTGGAAATAAAACTGAACTGTTCACTGGATCCAATCAGACGGCATCGTTAACGTCTTCAGCAGCTTTGAGACTCACCTTCAGCAACAACCAGCTCAAAGTCCTGGTATGAATATCTGGATGAGGATGACCTCCGTCCACATCGGTACCATCCTGAGTCAGAGCCGAGATGCTCACAGTGAAATATTGATTGTTCTGATCAGATTCAATCCTGTATCGTCCTGTTTGAGATGATATTTTATTTGTTTCAATGAGAATGTTTTCGTTTTTACAGTTTTCCCTACAGAAGATCTTCCATCGTCCAGATGAAGGAAAGAAACATCTAATCTGGATGTTTCCTCCAGGAACTCCGTAGAAACGGTTCACAGGATGACCGGTTCTGGTGTTGGTGATGTGCAGAGCTGCAGAACAGACCAACAGTTCATATCAGGACTTCCTGTCGGGTTCTGCAGTGAGACCACAGCTTGTTCTGATTCAGTCATGGACCGGCACCAAAACTTCACATATCTGAAACAAACTCCTGATCAATTTCACCTTCAACATGTTGAAAAACCTGTAAGAATCAAAACACTAAAAGATCTGAAACGATCCGACCGAAAATGTGGAAAAATGATCAAAAATAGTGTAAAATCTTAAATGTTGCAGCTTTAGTGTTCAGGAAGCAGAAACATCTCAACCAAACGATCTCAGTACTTTAAGCATTTTTTTAACTTCCTCAGTTTTAGACTGAAGGAAAAAGCTCTAAAAACTCATAAAACATGAATATGAAGCCAGTCGGCTTCAGTTTTACTCTGGTTATTGTAGAAACTTCAGCTTCCTGTTTTAAAGACGACCAAACTCATCTGGATGCTAAAGTTTTACAGTTTCATACTGAATAGTAAATGACTGGTAAAGTGTTTCAATGTACCAGGATAAAGAAAAGTGACTCACAGAGGCAGACGAGGCAGAACCAGGTGATCATGTTGAAACTGATGGTTTTTTCTCTCTTACCAAGTTTATCTTGTCTAACGTTCCTCTTCTAATGAAAATGTTGACTCTCTTCCTGCTTCTGCTTTTCAGCTGCAGCTTCGTCGTATTTATAACTGCAGCCTGACGGCTTCACTGTGTCTTTATGCTTATTTGCATTTACAAATCATTTCACACCTAAACATTATAATGTTTCCAAAACATTTGATTAAAAGCTGCAGACAGATGAGATACATAAATAGGACCTGATACAAAACTTATAAAACTAATTAATTACATATTACAACCCTGACAGCCAATATTTGTTTTTAGTTTCTGTCATTTTGCTGCACAAAAGAATAAACAACTTCTCTTCAAAATACAAGATTTAAAAAACAACCAATGACTTCCAGTTGAAATATTTCTGTAAAATTCAACTAAACTGTTAAATAAAAGCAAAAGATAAAGAAAAACAATTAACTATGGTTTCGTTCACACTGCAGGTTTTAATGCTCAATTAAGATTTTTTATAAAATCTTTTTTGATTTGTTCTCATTTCCAAATATATGTGACTTGTGTGTGATCTGAAGTGTGAACTGCAAACGACCTGCAAGTGGCCCACATGCACAGCAGGGGGCGCAGTAACCTGACAGAGAGCTCAGTGTTTTGCCAACAGACATAAAATGAAGTAGAAAAAACGTGTTTGGTGTTTGTGGGAGTCAACCTGGATGCTAATGCTGCAGCGATTTTGAAGCTGTTGTAAATTAACTTAATCCTCGTTACAGTCCGTCCTGTTGTTGCTTTTCTTTCCGTTTGCGTGAATCAGGATGCAGAAGAGAGACATTTGTTGAATGTTGAGGATGGATGGACTCGCTCTGCACGTCAGATCCGATACGCATCGGATTTAGAACCAAATATCCAAATGACCTTCAAAAAAATCCAATCTGGTTTGTTCAGACTGTCGTGAAAAACTCTGCGCATCGACGTTCTAAAGGGAAATTTACTCCAATAAAACTTTTAGAAGTCAACCTTTAAAACGAGTATTACAGAGAAACATCCAAGACAAACAGTAGAATATTATTCAGTACAAGTAACCAGGTCGTCCTCGTGTGTTTTCTATTTTAACTTTGTTTTAATCTGTTTCTTTCTGTATCTAAACATTAAAAGTTATAATCATGGAAAAATTGAGTTTTGATAATTGTGTCAGTAACAACTGGTAAATAATGTGATGTTTAAAGTGGATTTTTGTGATTTTAATGGATCATTCTGTTGGAAATGTTTGTCTTCATCAGTAAGGTTGGGTCAGGATGTGACTCAGATGGTGTGAGTGAAAAGGGGAAACTGAGTGAGACTGAAAGGTGATGAAACGGAAAAGATACAACCTGAGCATGAAGACGAAGTTCATCATCAACTTCATGTTTCAGAACATCTAACGGTTTTATCTTTAGTTTGGTATTTGTGCAACATGAACGGATTATGATTTGATCGTCTGGACTGAACTGACCGTCTGATGCCGGCGCAGCGGAGAGTAACGGGAAGGAAACGGATCCCTGCAGACCAGTTCTGGTGTGATGCAAAGACGACCAGACAGTCGCAGAACCACAAAACAGGAACTCCAGAGTTTTACAATAAACCAGGCTTATTACTACATAAACAAATAAACTTATTCATGTTTTTATTTTTAAACTTAAGCTTTAACACAAAGTGATGGCACTGCATAAAAAATAAAATGTTTAACTTTGAACATGAGCAGATTTTTTATAAACAAAGTGTGTGTGAATCTTTAGGCCGACTTCCACTTATTCTCTAGTTTATCTGGATGGATGGAGGTTAAAAAGACTTAAAACATCACAGAAACAAATGTTAAAAATGATCCAACAGGCTGAGCAACAAAATATTAAGTTACAGGTACCGTCATTTGTTCATCATCATTATTATTATCATCATTATTAGCTTGAACCAAAACTCAAAACCAATGTCTGATTTTCAAAGCTTAATTTTAACCGAGGACTGAGGCAAACGATACAAGTTTTATGTGTGTGGGGTCAGTTGGACCCCATTTCTACATACAAGGTAAATACATTTTTATAATTGCTTTTGACAGTTTCAAGTTATTTCAGTGACCATTGTGGGTTTTAGGTCATAAACAAGAGAGGTGCCAACAATTTTGTCAATGTGTGAATAGAAAAGTAAACCAGGAAGCCGGCAGAGCAGATAACAGAGAAGAGCAGAAGATTGATTGTTTATTCTTAAAAATAAAGGCTTTTATGCTCAGGGTCAGTACAGTTACATCCAAACACTTCACCAGAAACATTTAGAAACAATTGGATATAAATGCTGTTTTGGGGAGACTTCCTGGTTTCTAATGGCTTTCAGGTGTTGACCTGAATCATCAGATAAATTACCAAGAAGCAGCAACAATCCAGGACTCGGCGAATCCAAAAGACATTACGTCCCAGTTTGGGACCCTGGATCAGAAACCCAGACAACTAATGCCCAGGGCATCACCAGTTCCAGGAGGTCAGGTTCCTGGGAAAAAATTTTCTCCAAGACTAATAACTGGAATGAAAATTTAACTTATGTAATTAAACTACATCCTCTCCTATGTGGACCCTCATGTGTCTGTTTAAATGAGGCTTTTGGTAAAATCTTTTCCCACAGATATGGCAGCTGTAGGGTTTTTCTCCCGTGTGGATCCTCTTGTGTTTGTTTAAATTTGATTTGTGGTTAAATCTTTGTCCACAAACGTGACAACCAAACGGTTTGTCTCCTGTGTGGATCCTCTGGTGGATGTTTAAAGTTGACTTCTGATTAAAACTTTGTCCACAAATCTCACAACCAAACGGTTTGTCCCCAGTGTGGATCCGGATGTGCTTGTTTAAACTCGACTTTTGGTTGAATCCTTTCCCACAAACATCACAACCAAAAGGTTTGTCTCCTGTATGAATCCTCATGTGTTTGTTTACAGCCGACTTATCACTAAATCTTTGACCACAAACGTCACAAACAAATGGTTTTTCTCCAGTGTGGATTCTGATGTGTATGTTTAAATGTGACCTTCTGTTGAATCGTTGCTCACAGAAAAGACAACCGAATGGTTTATCTCCTGTGTGAATCCTCAGGTGCTTCTTTAAATTAGCCTTGAGGCTAAACGTGTGTCCACAGACGTCACAAGCAAACGGTTTGTCTCCAGTGTGGACTCGTGTGTGCATGTTTAAATCTGCCTTTCGACTGAATCTTTTCCCACAAACGTCACAATCAAAGGGTTTTTCTTCCATGTGGACTCTCTTGTGTTTGTTTAAATCTGACTTTTTGTTAAATCTTTGCTCACAATCATCACAGTGAAACGGTTTCTCCTCTGAGTGGTTCCTCATGTGCAGATTTAAGCTTGACTTTTGGTTAAATCTTAGTTCACACGAACTGCAACTGAACGGTTTCTCTCCGGTGTGGATTCTCCTGTGAATTTTTAGGTGAGATTTCTGGTTAAATCTTTGTCCACAGACGTCACAGCTGAATGGTTTCTCTCCTGTGTGGATTCTCAGGTGTCGGTTTAAAGAGTTTTTTAGGTTGAAACCTTTACCACAGTCATCACAGGTAAAACCTTTTAAATCAGTTTGGACATTCGCTGAGTCGACGTTTTTAGCCGAACAGTTTTTTCCAGAACTGTGTTTAGGAAGGGAGCGCTTCTTAAACTGTTCGCTGCAGTCAGAGCAGCTCAGCGACTTGTTGGCGGCGTTTCCTCCTGACTCTGCAGCTCTAGTTTCCTTCCAGTCGTTCTCACTGTCCTCAGATTCAGAGCCGGAGTCTGACCGTTGGTGTGGCTGAAACTCAGGATGGTTCACACCACCATCATCATCCTCCTCTTCATCCTCACTGACCTCTGTCTCTGAAGAGCAGGAAGTGTCTCCATCAGTGTGTAGGTCTGGGTTCCTGCTGGACTCTGCTGCTCCACCGTCCTCTTCATCTGCTTTCATCTGGCCAGCTGAGCTGCTGGTTGGAAGATCTCCGTCTTTTGGCTGATGAAGCTGCGAGAACAGAGGTTTATCTTCATCATCCTCACTCTTCATAAGAACCACAGTGAGTGGAAACCTGGTAGGATCGGACTCCTCCTTCACACTGAGCTCTTCATCCTCTGGGCTGCTCCAGATTTCCTCCTCTTCCTCCTTGATGTGAAGACGCTCTGCGTCCTGCTGGTCTCCACCAGGACTCGGCTCTTCATTAGCCTCTTCTTTAACCAGCAGCCTCTCCTGAACATCTACAGGAAACACAGGAACACAACACACACTGTGAACAATTAGAGTTAACATTTCTAAGAAGGTAAAACAGATTAGTGAAAGAATCTGATTAACATCATCAGGTAACGATGCTGAGATTCATCACATGTTGATTAATGAAGCAATCAGTAAACTGGAGAAATGAAGAAAGTTCTGAGCTATAAAGAAATAATCTACCAAAGTTCTGACCAGAACCAGGAACCAGAACCTGGACCGGCTGCAGATGTTTGGGATCAGTTTAGGTTGATTTTGGATTTTCCTCTTGACCATGAACTGTTACAGAGCGATGAATCCAACTTGTTTTTCCCTTCCATTTTTTTTTTTTTCAGAATAACAGCCTGAGATTTTTAAATATAGTTTCCTCCTTCTGCTCCAGCCTCTGTTTTATCTGAGGTTAAACCATCATTTGATAGTAAAAATCAGAGATGATGTCGTGGATCCGATTGATAAGCAAACTATTACAGTACTAAGCTTATAAACTAAAATCTCACATGTTTATGTAAACAGTTGAAAAGCAGAAAAGTCTCTGTAGTCATGGAGGAACAGTAAAGTTTGAGATGTTAATGTTTATTTCTGTAGATTTTCTAAGGACCAAGAGAAAAATCTCAACTCAAAGCTTCTCATTCATGTTTTCTAAAACATTGGAGCCGTTTATCCCTGGATGGACGAGCAGCTCAGCCCTGCAGAGTGACCGCTCCGACTAAAACCAACGAGGAAACTCCAAACCTGACGATGACTTTTGGACGACAAAAAGAAACAACGTTCGGTAAAAAAGGACAGGAAGTTTTGTTGTGTCTGTTTACAGATGTTAAATCACCAAGAACTGCCTCAAGATTTCCTTCTTATTCTGTTTTGTTCATTATGTTAATGAATGCCATGATTTCCAATAACAATACATTTTCCTTCTGAAAAGTATCAAATCGTTGATAATTCAGAAAAATCTTATCAGACATAATTTTGTTTGTAAAACATCTCATCTTTCCCAACAATATAAATATTATTCTGTAGCATTTTTGTAAAATAGCATAAAAAATGACATAAATTTAACTGGAGGTCTATTCAGAGAACAGGACCTCAGTGAGAATGCCTGTATAAAAGTTTAAATGAAATATAAAGAGTGAATAAAACTGTATAGATTTAAAGTTTATTGTAAAATGGTAATTTCACAGTGAAAAAGCACAACCACAAATATTGTCTGTGTGTAGAAAACATTGCGAGATTATTTCAGATTTAACAGTTTCGTCTACAATCTCAATCAGTTTCCAGCACAAAGCCCAAGTCTTGACAAAATCACCCTTTAAAGCAGAACTCATATTTAATTCATGTAAAACTTTAAATATGAGTCAACCAAACCAGTTTAAATCACTTGATTTAATTATTTTGTCATTTTTAAGCCAGTGCAATTATGTATAATGTATATAATAAGATCCTGTCTCTAAATGTCCAGTTTAAAATCAATGAAGCCAAATACGCGCTGCAGGCAAAATATATCACAATTAATCCAAGGTTCAAATAAATGATAAATATAACACTTTGTCCTGAAAAATATAATCTGTATGATTTAAAAAGTCATACAGAGATCCTTATTGCTCAGTAGCGTGTTGGATATCTGCTGCATTGAAAACTGAACAACAATGTGATTTCAGTTTAAAGATTTTCATAAAATATATAGCTATTGCCTGTTCTGTTTGTAAGAGGTAGCAACAAAAGAAAGTGTAAGTTTTAGCGTATTTATAATCTTTCTTGTTTATTTTTATATGATTGTAACAATGTTTTATTTATTTTTGTTTTGTTTTACTTCTTATGAAACTGGCCAAAGTACAGTATGTCGCACTCGAATAAAAACCATGTGTTTGGCACATATTTTAAAAAAGGGGCTTATTTTTAAACCATCCTCTAACTCGGTGGCATTTTGATCAGGGATCGACGCAGCCCCCTACTCATTTAAAAACATCCGCCTTGCGCGGTCACCAGATAAACTGGCCACCAGTAGATCCGACACACCGTAACAAGCCTCAAATGCAGACAGCAGCTTCACTAGTTCTCATTCAGGTAAATCCATCATCTTTCTAAAAATTGCTGCTAACCTGTAACTAAAGTCCAAAGTCGACGTGAATTAGGAGAAGACACCGACCTGATGTTTCCATCTGAACGTCAGAGCTAAAAGCAGAATCCATGTTTCTCCTCTTCTGCTGCTTCCAGTCGCTGTTTGAGCTGCTGTCTCTACATTTCCGGTAGCGTTTCTGTCTCCAGACCGTTCCGTAAAATGCTACAGTTCAATTTTAACCCGCCTTACGACCAAAACCAGGAGAAAAGCCTCCTGTCACCGCGACTGGACTAAAGAGAAGCTGGAGTCTGCGCACTGGGAGGAGAGGCCCCAACACACGTCAAAGGAACAAAAACCCGGAAGTTCCGCCTACACAGGGCTACGAGTCAGTCTGTCCGCCATATTGGTTGGGCAAAGGCGAGCTATGTAAACAACATTCGTAATCGAAAGTATTGCTGTTTTAACTGGTAGAAAAGTAACTGACCATGAAAATTTGATTTTAGACGTTTTTAATTTATTTTGCTGCAAAAATATTTTATTAATACTGATTTGAAATAAATAAAGGATCTGTTATTTTTGGCTTAAAATAAAAAAAGCTAAGCTGATCATGACAAAACGTGCAAATATGCAAATTTTAGAATCTAAAAGGAAAATTACAGTGCCATGCAAAACTATTAATACCCATTAAAACCTTCTTTTAACGCGTTTTTTTAGCTGATGTCAGTCTGAACTAACAGTTTGTACAGAAATAGGAACCAAATGTAAAATGAAAAGCAAAAAGACGCACCAGCAGTTTTATAATGTGTAAGGAAACTAGATTTAAAATATAAAATAAATTAATCAAAGTAGAAATGAGAGTAGCTTCAACTGCAGCATATCTGAGGAGCTCCTCACAACTGCAGCTTCTGTTTTTCATGGAACCAACATCCAGACGACCACATCGTTATTTCAGGTTGCTTCAGCCGTCCTTAAATCCACATGCTCTGTCGCCTGCCAGCAGCAGGAGAGCAGAGCTACATCTGAGCTGTGTTAGAGTACAACGGCTCTTCCTCGGATCGGTTCAGATCCGTCATTCGGACCGCGGCGTAGACAACATCGTTATTGGTTCCGCCTGACGCTCTGACAGGAGAATCAGAGCTTCTTTTAAAGAACTTCACTTCAGCGTAGGCGACTTTAGTGAAGTCGTCCACAGCCTGAGAAGTAAGAAACAGAAAACAAGTTTTATTTTGTGGTGTTGGGGTCGATCCGATCCAGTATCACTGTCGGAACCAAAACAGTCTCTGTGGTTTTAGGAAGTAATGTACAGTTTGTGTCCAGGATGTGTGGGATCTGCAGAGATGTTAGCTGCCCTTTTCCTGACCCTAGACCCAGTGGTGCAAAAAGTGGGTATGCAGCGCATGCAACGCATAGGGCCGCTGCACCAGAGGGGGCGGCGCGCCGATGATGCCCTCACATACACTTCACCGGATCCTTACGCTCCTTCACCTCGAGCACGGTTTTTGTGACGGTTTCCTTCAGGTCTTCTTGAGTCACTCACTGAGGCTGGATGGAGACGTGGAGCTTCCTGGACCGGAGCCGAAACTCTGTGTGCTTGTTGGTGTGGAGGAGGACGAGTCGACGGATGGAAAATTGATTTCAGTTTAGGTTTTCTTCTCACTTATGAAATTTATTTATGTCATTTCCTAATAAAAACCTGAATCTATGAACCAATATTCATATTTCTGTGCATCATAATCTGACATAAAGGCTTTGTGGACAGAAAGCAGCTTCAGATGAAAGTTTTTTTATTAAGACTCACCGTCTCTGACTGTGATGTTAAAGTCTCTGTATAAATATGATCCATCATTTCTCTCCAGGGAACATCGGTACCGTCCAGAGTCAGACTGGGTCAGCTGGGTGATGGACACATACAGAACTCCACTTTCATACAGAATGATGTATTTGCCACTATCAAATCTGCCTTCATTTGTCCCAATAAGAACTTCCCTCTGCAGAACTGTCCTCTTCCAGAGGAACCAGAGGATCCAAAGGAACAGGCGCCTGTCAGAGAGCTGCCAGCGTCTTTATAGAGGTGATGATCTTTGCTTCCATCCAGCAGAGCTGTTAGAATAATCATCAGTTACTTTCTGATCTCAGCATGATGCAGTCTGATACATTAACCCAGTTATAAATAAATACATAGAACTTAAAGCTCAGTTAACAACCGTGCTTCTATTTAAGGAACAAAGCATATTCCCATTCTGCTCTATTCATAAACTTCGTCCTAACTGGTTAAACTGGCTCACAAATGCAGTAAATCAGGTAAAATGTTCCTTTATTATTAAACTTCTGATGGCTGATCTATTAGCCGATACTGAATTAAATTAGTTCACAGATATTAAACTAAAATGAAGCTAATTTAACACAGTTAAATGCTTTAATCTCAAACTGAAATGAAACATTTCAGCTGCTTTGATAAAAACTCACCTTCTACAAGATGAAGTCTGAAATTACAGATTTCAGCTGATGATGAAGATTCACCCAGACCAAGTCTGTAAAGTCCAGAGTCGGACCGGGTCAGCTCTGAGATCATCCCAGACAGAAGAACAGGTGTAGAACATCCAACTCCGCATCGACCCGACTGAGCGTCCAGGCCTTGTGTTTGAACGCTTCCCGCTTCACATTTCTCCCTGCAGAAGAACCTCCATGCTCCATCCTTCCTACAGGAACATGTCACTAATGTTTCCTCCAGGAACTTGAAGATGTGAGTCGGTGCATCATCAGCTCTGCTGTTGTTGACCTGCAGAACAGATCATTGGTTAACAGCAGAACTTCCTGTCAGGTTCTGCAGTCTGAGCTCAGCATGTTCTGCTTTCCAGTTCACTGCAGACACAACTGAATCATTCTGGTTAGATCATTATTGTTACCATGGAAACTCAATGTAAATCAGCCTGGTTTGGTTTAACACACAACACAGATGTTAATCTACTGACTTATTACCAAACTAAAGACAGGAGGTTAAATAATAAAATAACTTTTTTAAAGAGTTTTAAAAGTTGCAGTTCAAGCACTGAAATAGAAACTTTAACTTGAACAGAATATATTTAATAATATCTGAAATTAAGAATCTTTACTTTCACCATCTGCAGAGGTCAGTTTAAGAAATAACTTATTCTGTGCCTGAACTTTATCCCTGATCCCAGTTTTAAGTCCATCCAGAACTCTGAAGGTTCTGTTCCCACGGGTCCAAAACAAGTGGAAGATCCTTCCTCAGAGGAAAAACTGGAAACTGTCAGGAAAGTTGAAATGTGGCAGAACTTAAACAGGCATAATTAATACTGAACTGAACAGGACAAAGCAGGAACAAAGAAAAGCCAGAAAGCTGGAAACGGGTGAGTGGTGAATGAGGTTAGACAGGTGAGTTTGATGGTTTAAAGACGCAATCAAAGAATTAAAAAGTACTCACAGAGGAAGAAGCAGCAGAACAAAGCCAGACGAACGCTCATGGTGAAGCTCTGACGTTCTGCTGGCTCTCTTCTGTTTCATCACTTCTATGACTGAAGATGCTCCTCCCTCCAACTCTTCCTGTTCCCTTCAGTTTCTCACCTGCAGCTTTACATCAACACATCTTCTCTCTCTGGAAAGGGCTCAGATGCTTAGAACATTTTTATTAAAAAGAAAATGATGAAAGGAACAGACTAACAATAGAATGGGTTTATTATAAAAACATAAATAAATTTACTAGTATTAACATCAGCAAAACACTACAGGCAACATCTGATCTCCCCTTCTGGACTTCTCTACAAACCCAGTCAAAGCGTCCTGCGAGGTGAAAGCATGACAGCAGCTGTGCTCCAAAAAACACGAGAAACATTAAAGATCCCAGATAAAGAGCAGCTTAAATAAACTTCCTTTATAGGTTGGCAGACATTTATCATCAGGAGGGAGTTCTGCTCATATTGTACTGGAAACACATTTAAAGCAAAGGGTTTGAATGTTAGAAATGGTTTCCCAGTAATAATAGCTCAACAGCTCAAAGTGAAGAGATTAAAATCATTTATTATTCTGAAATTTGGCAAATATAAAAAGCTCTAATCATCCTACTTGAAGAGAAAAGGTTTACTTTGATTCAATGTCAGGCAACGGAAATGAAGTCTTGTTTTTATAGTATAAATAAATTTTAACAAGTTGCACAAGAGTCCAACAAAGGAAGTTCTTTAATATTCTTACATGTACAGAACTTCTGATATGAAATACTTTTTCATATTCAGCTGATAATCACGCCACATGAAGTCCTCAGTTTGACAGTTATGACCATCCAGGCAGCAGAGCAAAACAAGTGTTTGTGTCCAGATATGAGGCACATAGAGGTTCCTCCAGACAGAAAAGCAGCTTTGAAAAAACAAACATTTCTACTAAAAGCAGACGACAGAATGACATCAAGGACATCGACTCAACTGCAAACATCTGACAGAAAAACGTTTGTCCCTCACAACACACCGACAAAAACAAAAGCTTAAGAAAATCACAATGCTCAAAAACATTTTTTTATATTTACGTCAATTTCATAGAAACAGATTTAAACAAAAAGCACCGGCATTCTTTTGAAGAAACCTTTGATTAGACGGCAGCAGGCATGGCGTTTTTATAAAGTCTGTTGCTCTGTAGAGAAAAGATGTGTGCTGTCATATCCCACATGTTTTTAGCAACCTATTGCATTGTAGAGTTTAAAGAATCGTGGTTCAAAACTAAAATGGCTGAACTTTAAAGCTTTAACAGCTGTGAACATTTAAATCTGAACACTTTCTCCATCCCTGTGGACGTTACTGTGTTTGATTAAATGTGACTTTAGGTTAAATCTTAGTCCACAGACATCACAGCCAAACAGTTTGGCTCCTGTGTGAAGGGTCATGTGTTTGTTTAAATGTGCCTTCTGGTTAAACCTTTGCCCACAAACGTCACAACCAAAAGGTTTGTCACCTGTGTGGATTCTCAAGTGTCTTTTTAAAGCCGACTTCTGGTTGAATCGCCGTCCACACACATCGCAGTCAAATGATTTTACCTCACAGTGGATCTTCATGTGTTTCTTTAAAGCAGACTTTTGTATTAAACGTTGTCCACAGATGTCACAAGCGAATGGTTTCTCTCCTGTGTGGGTTAGCTTGTGCAAGTTTAAATGTGACTTTAGGTTGAATCTCTGATCACAAACACCACATCTATATGGTTTCTCCCCTGTATGGACTCTTACATGTTTGCTTAAATATGACTTCAGGTTGAATCTTTGTCCACAGAAATCACAACCAAACGGTTTTCCTCCAGAGTGGATTTTGGCATGTTTGTTTAAGTTGGATTTTTGGTTAAATCTTTGTCCACAAACATCACAACCAAACGGTTTCTCTCCTGTATGAATCCTCATGTGTATGTGTAAATATGACTTCAGGTTAAATCTTTGTCCGCAAACATCACAACCGAAGGGTTTTCCTCCCGTGTGGATTCTCATGTGCTTGTTTAAGTTAGAATTCTGGTTGAATCTTTGTCCACAAACATCACAGCCGAACGGTTTCTCTCCTGTGTGGATTCTCTTGTGCCTGCTTAGATGATTTTTCCAACTGAAACTTTTACCACAGTCGTCACAGGTGAATAATTTGACATCACTCTGGACTTTCCCTGGACTTAGTGTGTTAGCATTTTTCTTCCCTTTAGTACTTTTAGCTGCCCGGCGTGAAGACCTTCCTGTTGAATGATGGGTCCTGTGTCTCTGCAGAGAGCGCTCGTTAACAAACCGTTTACCGCACTCAGAGCAACTCAATGAACTGACGGCGTTTCCTCCTGACTCTCTGCCCTCCTTCCAGTCAGTCTCACTGTCCTCAGTTCCAGATCCAGAGTCTGACATGCGCTGATGCTGGGAGTCAGGATGGCTCGCTTCATCACTTTCACCACCAACATCATCACTGTCATCACCACCATTATCACCAAATTCAGAGTCACTATCACCATCATCCTCCTCTTCATCCTCACTGACCTCTGTCTCTGAAGAGCTGGAAGTGTCTCCATCAGTGTGTAGGTCTGGGTTCCTGCTGGACTCTGCTGCTCCACCGTCCTCTTCTTCATCTTCTGCTTTCATCAGGTCAGCTGAGCTGCTGGTTGGAAGA